ATTAATAGATGCACAGCGGAAGTCTTTACCCTTTATGTAATGAGTGTTTGACCACTTTCTAATTTTGGGAAGATTGGACTTAGATAGCTAGCTGTTGGCTTGGCAGTTAGCTTAGCAGTTGACTAGGTAGCAGGGAACTGCTGAGGCAACTGCTAGAGAAGTATTGATTTTATGATGAAAAGTGATGGTGAAACGTTGTTTAGAACACAAGAAGGATGTCTGAAAAAGTACTTAAGTAAGGTTAAGATGAAGTTTAACTGTAGCAGTGGTCTTGGCAGTTGGGTGGTACAAAGGGAACTGCTGAGTCACCTGCTTAGGTTATAAGCAGATTTTCAGAGATCCTTTTAAGCAAAACTTCGTGTGATGATGTTATGAGGATCTGGTGATGTTGAGTTGTTTAAAGGAAATATACGTATGTGAGCAGGGAGCTCGGCAGTTGGGTGGTACTGAGGAGACTGCTGAGGCACCTGCTATACTTTGAAAGTGAATTTCCGAGAACTGATAGAACAACCTTTTTGATAATGCTTTAGCAAGTGAACTTTATGGAGATAGCCTCAAAGAGAGTGAGTAATTAAGCAGAAGGATAAGCAGTTGGGTCAATTAAGACAACTGCTTAAGATGCTGCTGGCAAACTACAATCTTTATACGAGAAGTGCTGGGTGTGTGTTTTGTTGAATGAAGTGAAATCAACACACGATGTATCCTGGTTCAGAGGTGGTGTAATCCTCCTACGTCCAGTCCCATTCTCTTTCAAATGGATTTCCACTAAAGTATTCAGCCCAATACACTTAGTGCCAATCTAGCCTTTACAACTCTTAGGCCTAGATTGAAGGTTTTTCACAATGAGTATAGCACCACTCAAAGTTACTCAGTCCTTAGACTTTTCTCAATTGATCCAGTGGGGATCAAAAGGTACTCTATCTATCTAACTACACTTTAGGATCCGAACAACTGTTCTCCTAAGTGTTTACAACCACTTGTGAAATGTTACAAGAAAGTTCTAACCTCCAACTATGAACTAAGCTCTAAAAATGTAAAAGTATTGATCTAATCTAAGAGCTTAGTGAAGCATGAGGCTAAGCAGAGAGTAAAGTTGAGTTTGCACTTTCTCTTTTGCTAGATATCTCGTATATGCTTTGATGAAATTATTTCTCTACTTAGGATGCTCAAGCTTATCTTCGAACTCATGCTTCTACCTATATTTATAGGCCTTCATGGTTGATTAATCTCATCCGTTGGTTGAGATGGATTAATCTTGTGCGTTGAGGGTCTGGCTGGGACGAATTGTACATTCGTCTTCTTGTGTAGGAGCTTTTAATATTTTTGTTTTCTGTCTTGAATAATTGGGCTGAGGCATGGGTTTGTCTTCAGCCGCTGCAGCTTCACTCCAAAAGGACGTCCCATGCTGTAGGACCATGTACCTGTTTGAGTTTTTAATGCTGGTCAAGTTTTGTCTTCCAATCATACACCTTTGATGTATATGATTTTTCGAGCATCTTTAAAATGTGACATTTATTTAATCTTTGAGCCAAATGATATGTGCCGGTTGGATCTAAATATCCGTTTAAGGTACACAAAAAGTACCTTATTGCATTTTTACTTTTTCCGGTACTATTTCATTAGTCTCAAAAATTGTACATTTATTTTGTCACATTTGAATAATTTGAGTGCTAATACTTGAATTTAATTTAGACACAATGTACGGGTGCAAAGTATAGTGGCATCATCAAAATATATCAAAATTGGGTACTAACACCATCTACAATGTGTTCTCTTGCCAGTTTGTTGATGGTTTTGAAATTCAGGTGGCTAAGCTTCTTGTGCCAGTCCCAGCTTAGCTTTGAATTGTCTTTAGCTATCAAGCAGGTTCCATCTTTTGCTGTTTGCCAGTCAACAACATAGATGTTCTTCCTTCTTTTGGCTGTAAGAACCACTTCCTTGGTTGTCTCATGCTTGACATAGCATAAGGTCTTGGTGAATTCAACTGTGTAGCCTTTGTCACAGAATTGGCTAGCACTCAGGAGGTTGAATTTCAGACCTTTGACATATGAGACATCTTCAATGATTATCTGATTCTTGATCAGCTTCCCTCTTCCCTTTGTTTGACCATCTTTGTCATTTCCTCCAAAGGTGACTCGGGGTCCATTGTATTTCTGGAACTCTGATAGGCAACTCTTGTCACCTGTCATGTGTCTGGAGCATCCACTGTCAATATACCATTCTTGTTCTGAGATAGCTCCAGCACACAGTTCCTGCAAAATTAAAAGGAAGATTTAGGTACCCAAGCAATGTTGGGTCCTGGGGGGTAATGCAGTCTTGGTAGTTGGTACCATTTTGGTCTCATCAACTGAAACCTTGGTGGCTGGTACCCATTATCCACCTGGTAATTATGATAAACAGCAGCATGATTCACTTTGGGCAGATGTTTGTGAGGATCATGCTTTCTGTTAGCATATTTCTGCATAGCCTTTTTAGTTGGAAAGAAGTCCCATATACTATCAAGATCAGAGGAGCGCTTAACTTTAGGCTTCTGAGGTTGACCAGACAACCTCTTTTGTCTATAGTTAATTTTCTCTTGATATCTGCCTTTCTGATAGCAGTTTCTGATACGGTTATCATGAGGATGTCTGATGGATTTTGGCCTTTGAATTTTATTGTTCTGAAAATTTTTATTGTGATTAAGTCTTCTGCCTGGTTCATTGTTTTTCAAAACTTGTTTTGGTTTGGCCTTTAGATTTTGCTTCTCTGGTATGACCTTCTCATGTACAACTTTAGTACCAGAAGTACTAGCATGGCAGATGGGGCCACAAGTCTGTGAAACTATGACCTTTTTGGCTTTAGCAACTTGGGTGCTAGGCCTTACAGAAGATTCACCAGACTTGGGTTCAACATATCCAAGACCAGGGGTAGAGTTGTGAAAGTCATTGATACCCTTCATAGAAGATTGCATCTTCAGAAGGCTATTGTATCTGACTTCAAGATGTTCAATCTCTCTTATTCTCTTTAGAAGGGACTCATTTTCAGCTTTCAGCTTACTGTTCTCTTCTTTAATAAAGGAGTAAGAACCTTGGATAGTCTTAAACTCTTCCCAAAATGATGACATTGGATCATTATTTAAGGCTGTGCCTACCGAAGAAGAAATAGAATCAGCTGTAGAGCATACCTCATCATCAGATTGTGCCATGAGGCAGAGGTCCACGGTCTCTGTATCCAGGCAGCAAAAGGCTTCATCAGAGTCAGAGTTAGAACTGGACTCTGATTCAGAAAGAGGATCTTTTTCAGCCTGTTCTGAAATGAATGCCTTCCTCCTTCTGTGTTGTTCTTCAGGTTTCTTTTCTTCTTCGTGTCCTTGCTTCTTGGACACTCTAGGGAAGGGGCAGTTAGCCTTGAAGTGACCAGGCTGTCTTCAATTGTAGCAGAGGTACTCTCCATTGTTTTCAGAAGATTTGGTCTTCTGATTAGGTCTTCTGACGGAAGATAAACTCCTTCCATCTTTCTTCATAAATTTTCTGAACTTTCTGGCAAAGGCAGCCATATACTCGTCAGATAGGAGAGTTAAAGGGTCAAAGTTTGTTGCCTTAGAAGTGCTGGCTGTGAGAGCAGTTGTGGTTCTCTCATCTGGCACTTCTTTCTCATCATCATGCATCTCGAACTCATAAGCTTTGAGATCAGAGATCAGCTTCTCTGTAGGGTAGGTTTTGATGTCCTTGCTCTCTTGGACAGCAATGACCTTCATCTTCCAGAGTGAGGGTAGTCCTCTGAGAATCTTCAAATTGACTTCTTTGATAGTGAGCTCCTTCCCAAGCTCAGAAATCTCACTGATGAGGATCAGCAGTCTCTCATGCATTTTGGCAATGCATTCTTCTGGGTGGAGTTTGAAGTCATCAAACTTCTTCATTGCAATGGTCAGCTTGTTGTCTCTCTCTTGTTCATCACCAGCACCTATCTCATCAAGCTTGTCCCAAATTTCCTTAGCAGTCCTGCACTTCTTTATTCTATTGAAATATCTTTCATCAATAGCTTTGTAGAGAATGTCCTTGGCAATGTTGTCAAGGTTGTACTGTCTTTTCTCTTCCTTGGTCCACTCAGACCTGGCCTTCTCAATCATCTGAGGCAGATTGTTGTCTAAGGTATGGGCAGGATTGATCTTCATGAATTGGATAAAAGGTCCATTCTCCAAGACTTCCCACATTTCATCATGCAGGGCACAGAGATGAGCTTTCATCTGAATCTTCCAGTCATCATATTTCTGATCTGTGAACATTAGATGCTTGGCAAGAGATTTATCCATAATAATAAGTAAATAGAGGCTAAAACAAGTGGATCTTTGTTCAAGGTGTAACCTAAAAGATTACAAGAACAAGGAGGCTCTGATACCACTTGTTGGTCCCGTTTGAGTTGGTAATCAGTCTAGAGGGGGGGGGTGAATAGACTGATTCAAGTTTTTCAACTTTTCTCTAAGTCAGAATTGACTTGTCAGAGATGGTCAAGTTCTGATGATCAGAACTGGTCTTTGCAGCGGATAAGAATTCCGGGTAGCCTCAAACAAACACTAAGGCAAATACCTTTCTGATAACTCTGAAAACAAGATCTGCTGAACACAGATTCCAAGTCTTAGAGTTATGCAGTTAGAATCCTAAGTGCAGTAAATAAATGCGTAAAGTAAATGACACCGGAGTTTTTATAGTGGTTCAAGGAACAACTCGTTCCTCTAATCCACTGTTCCACTAGCTTTGAAGTAGATCGGTTACAAAGCTAATCTCTAGCACTTAAGAAGCACTCCTCGTCTTCTTCAAGCCTAGATGCCACCCAGGATGCAATTCCACGTCCTGATGGCTAGTCCTTTAACTCAGCTTCCCGGAAGTATCACCACTTCACTACTGCAGTTACTTGGACGCCCTTCTTTTCAGAAGATGTTTTGAAAACAGAGTTTTCTCCAACTAGCTTCGTTACAAAAGATATGTAGTTGAAGTTCTTGAAGTGTTGAAGAACAGGATGAACTTTGCTCTTGTTGGGGATGAGAGATTGTGAGGTTGAATCTTCCCAACGTAAGCTTTTTCTTGTTTTTTGTGTTGTGGAGTTTGAATCTCAAGAATGCTTGTAGTATGAAGTTCAGAGCAAAAGTTGTCTTCCTTGTTCTTCTTCGTGTAGCTTATATACTGAGGTTGTCTGCCCGTTGGAGGAGGAGACAACTGCATTAAATGCACGTACTGTTGACTTGACCGCCGCTTTGGAAGGTTTCTATTTTTATAATATACCTTCCCGGATTCCTCGGTCAATCATTTGCAATAAATCCAAAGCGTATCAGGCTCATTTAATGTGCATTAAATGCTTTCCTTTCATGCACAGTCTTCTAGCCGTTGGATGTTATACCCGTTGAACTCATAGCTGTTGGATGTTGCTTGAAATCTTCTAAGTGTTAGTCGGACTCTGATCGGAGTCTTCTGATACGTTGGATTCTGATGGCTTCCTGAAGAGTAGTTCTGATGTAGTTTCAAGTCGAGCTCTGGTGTGGGAACTCTGATGCTTTCTGATCTTGAGTTCTGATGAAGCTATACATCCAACTCTGATGCTTCTCTGATCTTGAGTTCTGATGAAGCTTCTAGTCGAGCTCTGAAGAGGGAACTCTGATGCTTCTCTGATGATCAACTCTCATGACTTCCTAAGAGCAACTCTGAAAGCAGTTCTCATATAGCAGCTCTGATCGTCGACTACACTAATACTTACAAATGAAAAAATTCTAATACATAAAGTCTAATTGGGGTACTTTAAAATTCTAATCTAATTATCCTAGCATCATCAAAATCTAATTACATTTATTCCTTACAAACACATATAACATTCATTTAGGTAATCTCATGATTGACCCAAAAGTTATAAGATATTAAGCCGTCCACTCACCTTGAACTAGCGTTATGAAGTTCTACCCCTCTTGGTCGAACTCCGGTGAAACTCCGGCGACTTTCGGTCAACTCCGGCGACAACTCCGGCGACTTTACCAACTTTGTGAAATCACTTGAAATACCTTTCACAAGTTCCTAACAAGGTTTTATAATCATAAAAACCATATTAATACAAATAACCTCAAAAAGGTCATTTTCCGGTGAACCGGTCGTTTTGGCTTCTAAGTCCGTTCTTGGACATGGAATCACTTTCCAACCCATAAATCCATACTTATAACATGTAGAACCCTCTTAAGGATCCTTCACATGATATATATCTTATATGGTAGAAGAAAAATAAAGGAAAAGTTATAATAAGGTCATTACCTTAATTTTCACACTTTTTCTAGCCCTTTTTCCTTCTTCAAACACTTCTCTTTGAACCCCCTTCCTTGAGCTCGAGTTCAGCTATGGAGAAAGAGTATTTTGAGAGTTCTTCTTCTCCAAATAATAGGGCTGGACGAGTTGGATGATTGAGGTGAGAGGGAGTGGTTTATTTTGTCTCAAATGACAAAATGTGTGGTGGGTGAGGGGTCATCTATGTACTTTGATGCCAAAGCCTCCTCCTCCACACCTTCCTTTGTCAAAACCAGCCCCCCTTGTCTATGCTAGCACAAAAAAACGTGGGGTGGCCCCCACTCATGTGGGAGGTCATCCCAACTTGTCCCGAAATGTACATTCGGTCCCGAAAGTTGTATTTTTCGGACTGTTTTAAATATATTTTATTTTATCGGGTCAAATAAAATATCTTATGTGCTCTTACTCATTATGACATGTATAATGAATATACATTCCCCAACTTTAATTTATAAGCCTCCGAAATTCAGTTCGGGCTGTTATCTGTTGAATTACCAGTACCGGTAATTTGGGCTTCTTTTGACCAATCGGTCGACTCCGGGCCTTTCTATGGCCCAAATGGAATATCCACCACTATATATTTATTATCTAGACCAAGATGAATAAAATATATGGTCTCGGGAATGTCGGGCGGCCCCCGCTCCCGGTGTGGGCCCCACGTGCAATTTACTATTCACGCGAAAGAATAATAAAAATTTACAACTTCGTAAATTCTTAAATCATTCCATAAGGTTTATTACATCATTTACTTGAAAGTAAATACATTTGGGGACGGTGTTACAAGTTCACCCCCACTTATTTGGGATTTCGTCCCCGAAATCCGTGTGTCTAATCGAAAAGAAACGGGTATTGCTCCCTCATTGAGACCTCGGTCTCCCATGTTTCTTCTTCGACTCGATCACTCCTCCAAAGAACCTTCACCATAGGAATCTCCTTGTTCCTAAGTTTCTTCACTTGTTGACCTACTATCTTCACCGGCTCTACCGCATATTGCAAATCCTCACGGATCTCTACCGGCGGCTTCTCAAGAATATGAGAGGGATCCCGTATGTACTTCTTGAGCATTGATACATGAAACACGTCATGTATCTTCTCAAGTTCAGGCGTCAACTTGAGTCGGTAAGCCACGGCCCCTATCCTTTCAAGGATTTCAAATGGACCGATGTATCGGGGGTTAAGCTTTCCCCTTGATACAAATCGAATGATGCCCTTCCAAGGAGAAATCCTTAGGAAGACCTCATCACCGACTTCGAACTCCAACGGTCTCCGCCGTTTATCAGCGTAACTCTTCTGTCGGTCCTGAGCGGCCTTCAATCTATCTCGAATGACCCTCACCTTGGCCTTGGTGATCTCGACTAGTTCCACTCCTTCGAGTTTGGCCTCGCCAACCTCGTCCCAACACAATGGTGTTCTGCACTTCCTCCCATACAATGCCTCATATGGAGGCATGCCGATACTTGCTTGATAACTGTTGTTATAAGCAAACTCCACTAGAGCCAAATGCTTGTCCCAACTTCCTTGGAATTCCAGAGCACATGCCCTAAGCATGTCTTCCAAAACCTGTATCACCCGCTCGGACTGTCCATCCGTCTGTGGGTGAAAAGCTGTGCTAAACTTCAGTTTAGTACCCAACGATGCTTGAAACTTTGGCCAAAACCGGGATGTGGATCGTGGATCCCTATCCGAGACAATGGATATCGGGACTCCATGTAATCTCACAATCTCCTCCGTGTAGAGCTTGGCCAATCTTTCAAGAGGATAAGTAATGTTGATAGGCAGAAAGTGTGCACTCTTAGTGAGCCTATCAACCACTACCCATACTGCGTCATAGTTGTTCACTGTTCGTGGTAGCCCCACCACGAAGTCCATGGTCACGTGCTCCCACTTCCACTCTGGGATGGTAAGTGGTTGCAAAAGCCCTGCCGGGTGCTGGTGCTCTGCCTTAACTTGCTAGCAAGTAAGGCACCGACTCACGTACTCAGCAATGTCTCTCTTCATACCTGACCACTAGTTACTTTCCTTCAAATCTCGGTACATCTTAGTACCTCCTGGATGCATAGCATAAGCTGAAGAATGAGCCTCCTCAAGTATAGATTTCTGGAGTTCCTCATTCCTTGGTATGCACACACGATCCTTAAACAATAACAGACCGTCATCACGTACCCGAAAATTCTCAACGGGTCCTTCAAGGATCCTTTCACGGATCTTCTGACATTCCTCATCAATGGCCTGACTCCGACTAATCTCGCCCAATAGGGTGGGCCTAACCTCAAACTGAGCAATGAGAGCCCCGCACGTGGACACCTCCACGCGTGCTCTCAATGCCTGCAGACAAGTAAGTAACGTCCCTGACGTACTCTTCCTGTTCAGTGCGTCGGCCACTACGTTGGCCCTTTCGGGATGATAGTCGATGATCAAGTCATAGTCTTTGATCAACTCCATCCATCTCCTCTGCCTCATATTCAACTCCTTCTGAGTGAATACATACTTCAAGCTCTTATGATCAATATAAATGTGACACGTCTCCCCGTAGAGATAATGCCTCCAAATCTTCAATGCAAACACTACCGCCCCCAACTCTAGATCGTGAGTAGGGTAGTTCACCTCGTGTTTCCTCAATTGTCTAGAAGCATAGGCAATCACCTTACCGTTTTGCATTAGTACACATCCAAGCCCTTGGATGCTAGCATCGCTGTAAATGTCATACCCTATCCCCTGTATGGGTAGGGCAAGGACTGGTGCTTCGGTAAGTCGTTTCTTCAATTCAAGGAACCCTTTCTCACACTTGTCATCCCATATGAACTTGGCCCCCTTCTTTGTGAGCTTCGTTAATGGGGACGCCAACACGGAGAACTTTTCAACAAATTTACGATAGTATCCCGCTAAGCCAAGGAAACTACGTATCTCTTTCACATTCTTGGGTCTCTCCCAATCCATGATAGCTTTTATCTTGGCGTTATCCACAGCTACGCCCGAGCCGGATATGACGTGACCGAGAAAACCAATCTCTTTGAGCCAAAATTCGCATTTAGAGAACTTGGCAAAGAGTTGCTTTTCCCTTAGCCGATCAAGTATAAGCCTCAAATGATGTTCGTGCTCCTCTTCACTCTTGGAGTATATCAAGATATCATCAATGAATACTATCACAAATTGATCTAAGTATTCACTAAACACCCGGTTCATCAAGTCCATGAATGCCGCCGGTGCGTTGGTTAAACCAAACGACATCACAAGGAACTCGTAATGACCATACCTGGTGCGGAATGCACTCTTAGGTATGTCACTCTCCTTGATCTTCAACTGATGATACCCCGACCTCAAATCAATCTTCGAGAACACTATTGCCCCCCGAAGTTGATCAAACAAGTCATCAATCCTTGGTAAGGGATACCTGTTCTTGATTGTGACCTTGTTCAACTGTCGGTAGTCAATACACATCCTTAGTGTACCATCCTTCTTCTTCACGAAGAGTACGGGTGCCCCCCATGGTGAATGACTGGGTCTGATGAACCCGTTGTCCAATAGTTCTTGTAGTTGGACCTTCAACTCTTGAAGCTCGGCCGGTGCCATTCGATAAGGGGGAATCGAAATGGGTTTGGTTCCCGGCTCCACTTCGATTACAAATTCAATCTCTCTATCGGGTGGAAGCCCCAGTAGTTCCTTGGGAAAGACGTCCGGGTACTTGTACACGACTCGAACATCCTTGATGTCGACTTCTTTCTTCGTATCATCTACCACGTAAGCAAGGTATGCGTGGCACCCCTTTCTCATCATCTTCCGTGCTCTCATCACGGATATGATGCAAGCATTTGATTTCCCCCGATCTCCTTCGAAACATAGCGTGTTCCCTTGATCATCCTCGAGCTCCAACACCTTGGTGTAGCAATCTACTCGAGCATGGTGTCTCTCGAGCCAATCCATTCCTAGGATTGCGTCGAACTCCAACATGCTTAGAGGTACGAAATCACAAGTCAAGGGTTGACCCGTCACTTCCACCTCACATGATGGATAGTAATGATTTCTCTCCACATCGTCTCCTAACGGTGTGGAGACTAGCAACGTTTGCGTCATAGGTGTCAATGGCACGTCAAGGCCCTCGGCGAACGCCTCACTCACAAATGAGCGTTGTGCCCCGGTATCGATGAGGATCCTCGCACACCTACCATTGATCTTTAATGTTCCTACATTTATACACCATGTAAGATACATTTTCTAATGTTTTTACACATCATTAGGATGTTATTTGGTTCATACTAATGCTTGGAATCAAACGGGGGCCCAACGTAGAAGAACGGGGCGAAAAAAATCGAGTTCCGGGTGTTGGGGGTCCACGCACGGCGTGCCTGGGTGGCACGCACGGCCGTGCGTGCAACGAATTTATCCCGCTCAGCACTGCCGGCCAGGCAGGATGCCAGGCACGGCGTGCCTACGGCCGTGCCTGGCCAAAAATACTTCGGACGCCACTGCCTTCCAGGCACGGCGTGCCTGCGGCCGTGCCTGGCCAATTTTTTTTTTTTTTTTTTTTTCTTCTTCGGGTGCCACTGCCTTCCAGGCACGATGCCAGGCACGGCGTGCCTGCGGGCGTGCCTGGTCAGCAGTGGCTGTTTCCAGTCCGATTCGGCCTAACTCACCCGGTTTGACCCCGGGGTGGCCCGTACTCAATCCCAACGACGTATATGATCAAAGTAAGCCTAGAAATGCCCAAAATAAGTGTATTACCTGCGACGGAGTCCGGGTTTGCCCGCGCATCCGCCTCGGTCATCGCGTAGACTCGTGCTTGGGTCCCACCTTGGTTGACAGATGCGGCATGGCTTGTGGATGCACCGCCTCTTCCAGTACCGCCGTTTGACGGTCCCGAACGGTTTCTTCCCGTCATGGTCCCTCCCCCGGCTCCCGAGGCACTCTCTTGCATCAATTGAGGGCAATTGGCCTTCATATGGCCTGCATTCCCGCACTTAAAACACCTCGGTGGTTCATTGCACTTCCCAAAGTGTTGTTTTGAGCAATTGGGACATCTAGGTGGCCCCGAGTTCTGTGGCCTAGGTCCGTGCCACCTCGCATCCCTGTTCTTCTTTGCCGGTGGGGCCGGCGCCTTGAATGAACCACCGCCACCACCACCACCCCCGTGGTTGTTCCTTCGAGAATGATCGGGTGGCCCCGAATTATTCCACTTCCTCTTCTTCGCCTCTTCGGCGTCCCTTGCTTTCCTCTCATTCCACTGGGCCTCTCCAAGAAGACCCTGTTCCACCACCTCGCTAAATGACATGTGGCGAGAGTACGTAGCTCGGTCACGGATATCCAAGAGTAATGCATCCCAGAAGTGCTCCGTCATGCGGTTCTCATCAACCGCGTACTCTGGCAAGAACCTCGCCAAGGTTCTAAACTCTTGTTCCAGCTGCTTAACCGTGCCGCCATCTTTCTGTTTGAGGTTAGTGTACTCTCTCCGTTTCACATTCACCTCGTACTCGGAGTAGTATTGAGCATAGAACTCTAGCTCAAAGTCCGCCCATGTTATTTCCCCATGGTACTTCCCTTCCACGCTCTCCCACCACGTAGAGGCTATCCCTTCAAGTAGCCGTGAAGCGACAGTCAACTTCACGTCCGGTGTGATTTGCATGTCTCTTGATGCATCCTTCACCTTCTTAATCCAATCGGCGGCAACGGTAATGTCACCGGTGCCGTCAAAGGACCTACACCCCAAGGCCCTAGCCTCCTTGAGGTACTTGGAGATTCTCACAACAAAACCTCCTTCACGCCCACCTTGTGACGCCGCTGGGGTGGCTACGGAAGCTCCCCGGCTCCCTTGACCTGAACCACCACGAGAGCCACGCCTCGCTTGGCGCCTAAGGTCTCTCCTCAGTTTCTCCTTTTGATACCACTCAAGTAATTCACCCATTTGGGCGAAGCGGGCATCACTTTCATCATTGTCCTCATCGGTGTATGTGTCACCCCCATCATATGGGGTCTCCTCATGCTCTGTCTCAGGAACATACGTAGAGTCATAGTCCTCGGTGTTGGTTTCATACACCGAGCTTACATGGCCATCACTCACAGTTTGAGCTTGATGACCTCCACGGCTTCCACGGCCTCCACGGCCTCCTCTTGAACCCCGAGATGCAGCCCGGCTTCCCCTTTGGGATGTTACCGGCGCCTGCCCCCCTCGGATTGTTCCTGGTCCGCATTCGCCTGCCCTCCATTTCTGAAAGAAATATGGATGAGTCATTAGACTCCTATAAATGTCAATTGACGGAAAAACGTTACAGACACATATTGGCCCAAGTCACCACCATACCAATTGTTAAGGGTACCGTCTTAACAATTAGAGGCCTTGCAACTTAAGCTCCAATAGTACCATAAACGTCAAAATCCAATGCTCATGGTTTTCGGTAAAAATTCTTTCGTAAAATCTCATGTGAGAGGTTGATTATTTAGTTTAGAACTGAGATGGCTCTGATACCACTTAATTGTCACGCCCCAGACCGCGATCCAAGCGCGTGTACAACCGCCGTATAATCAAGTGACGTCACCCGCGAGTCAACCTCACTTGATTACACAAGGCGTTCGAGAAAAA